TAACTCAAAATATGTGAAATTCACGATTATATCATTGCTGAACGTAAAATTTAATTCTCTACACGTTAATAAAACCATTATTAGAGTATTGTGAGAAATAATTGAAAGATATCTACTTATGAAACTACAATGAAACAAATTTTTTATGAGTTAGTCCTGGACCAAACAGTGCTTACCCAAAAATCATGAAATTATTTTTTTCCTTTTGTTTTGAAATATATTTGGCAAGTAGGCAACTGTTTAGGTGTATGTAATAAACCTTAACCTATACATAAATTTTAATAATCATTCACGGGAAGTGAACAATTCATTTTCCATCGATTCCGAAAAATACCATTTTAGAGTTACACTATTGTATTAACAGTGCGAATTATACATAATTCTCCGAGCTGATGTTAATAAGAAGAGTAATTAAAAAACCTTAGCTTAGAGGGAGGGAGCCTGGTGATTAGTCGTACAGGGACAATAACCCTAGTACTGACACCAGACTCACAATGTGCATAAGAGTAACAAAAATCTGTATTTTAGTATATAAACTTATCATTAATTCAATTTCTATACCTCCGATGAAAACTACGCTCACTTTTTGGTAATCTTTGCTTTCATTTTGCTGTTTTGTTTCTTTTTTTCACAAAATTTGTTTCCTAGTTTTTTTCGAATTTTGTTTTTTGTTTCTTTATTATTTTTCACAAAATTCAGAGAAAATAATTATTTATATATATTAGAAAATAAAATAAGGTTGTTTACATTAAAAACAGAAAATGACCAAAAAAATAACCGCTCACGCGATACATGCCGTAGACGCATACCACACCTAGAGGTGCCGGTGATGATTTTATACCGATTTATCGGATATCGAAGTTATAACAGGTAAAAGAACTAATATCAATTGCTATTTCGGTAACTACTCTAGCAAACCATAAAGTTTTTAATGCCTGGGTCACGACAATCGTGTGTGTTATTATTGTTTGGGCTGGTGTTTTCGGTGTTTATTTATTGAAAACATACCGTAAGTAGCGTTTTTTAAGTTTACCCTGAATATAAATGTTTATAAACTATACTTTAAGGAGTAATTTCATGGTAAACGTTAGAACCACTCAAACGGAATATTATCATGTTTATCCAAGTACACCAAAAATTTCATTAGTGCTTTTTAAGTGCAGGATTGTATTACTGCATTTTATTTGAGATGTTTTTGTTGGTAGTACGGAGGGTATGTATATATATGGTATAGCAATGCAGAATAATAATTTTTATTTATAAAAACTTGTATTTAAACTGAATGCTTTTCTAATTTGCGAAACCAAATAGCCGCCATTTTGCGGTAGGGGGAGCGCATCGCGTGAGCGGCTAAGGAGGGGGATTGTTCATTGGAGATATCGATTTGTTTCATGTAATTCGTATTGTTTTTATGACATCAATGCAAAGCTCTTTTGACGTATTATCACATGTCTTGTGTGTTTATTATTGAAAGATATTAAGTTTTATAAATTGGATTACAATGATTATGTCATTAAAAATGAAAGCTGCTATTATTGACGAGTAGCAGACTATTCTAGAATAATTTATTGTCCTTTAGGTATTTGTACAAGATAAACAATTATTATATTTCTAAGTGTTTTAATAGCTAAACAAAGTAAGGAATTTTATTGTTTTATTTTCTAATTTCTTACCATATCACAAAACTCAACCAAGTTTAACATCATGTAAATCTTGTCTACCGTCAATGCTATAATCATACAGTTAGAAACATGACAATATCAAGTGATTATCTTGACCGATAATAACGTGAAATTGTCATGTTTCTACATGATTTTCTTATACTTGATAGTATGTAGTCTACACACAATAAAATTATCCAAAATCTGAAATCATATTTGATAAAGCAACAAATACGAACGTCTGTTATATCACTTTATGTACCAGTAAAGATTATTCTCAACGTCTGTCTGTGTTTTCGTGTCACGTCTCAAAAATGCCACCAAATACAATTGACACTTTAGAATTTACTGAGTCAAAAACTATTACTCTTCCTGTGCAGCAACAAAAAGCACTAATAAAAGAAAATTACGGCTGGCATATATGCCAGACCACTTTGAATATGATCGGAAGACTTTGCATTGGAATTGTTGTTGGTATTTGCATTGCCTTCGCTTTTAGAAACGGAGTACCACTCAACGCTACTAGTCAACACATTGTTTTGTGTGTCATTGGTGTAAGTACCTTATTTATCTTTCTTAAATTGTAGTTGTACAACTTTAACAGTAGCATTGCATTTTGGATAAAACTCATTATTATTGCGTCCATTTTGTCATCAATCTTGATTCAATTTGAACTCTGTATTATTGCGTCGGTAGATAGTTAAATAAATACCTTCTGCATTAATATTACACGGATATTGATTAAATATAGAAATAAAAACAATATTTTTGTCTTAAGTAGTGAAAGGGCGCTCGCCTTACTTTCTCAAACTCGTATCATATACAACGTATCACAAAATTACCGAAATGCAAAAAAAATATGCAAATTTTGCATTTTGTATTCTGATTTCACATCACATTTCCTTTATTCACACACTGACTTTTATCTATTCTTAAAGTAATGCATCGAAATTAACACCCTTGATAAGAAATTTAAAATAAATATAAAGTTTTGCCATCTCCTGAATAACCCCATTTTATAAGATACGAGTTTGAGAAAGTTAGGCATCTAAATATTTGTATGGCCTACATTTATTTCTCCCGTGAGTTTGGGTGTAATATGTGGTTGTCTATGTGTGTGTCTATGGCACTCGTGACACAGGGTTTCCCTAGTGCGGGGCTATGTTGAGTGTGTGCGTTATTATTATTATTATTATTATATTATTAATTGAAGTAAAATTACTAATAAATAAGTGTAAATAGTGCGTCCAAAATAACTTATTAGATACAGAAGAAGAATATAAATATAGCTTAAAGTGTACATTGTGATTGTAAATGTACTGTAGTGTAATAAAACAGGGAAAATTCTAGAAAAGCCGCGGAAAGGGTACATGGGTATACGAAATTTGTGACTACAAATTTTATAGATTTAGACGTATGCATTAATATTGAAAAGCATCACGATTACTAAAATTAATAAAAGATGTGAATGAGTAACTTAACATAACATTATTGCTATAAGTATTTTTTTAGCGATTAGTGTTCGAACGGTTACCATGCTGGACTGCCATGCAGATGTACCGGATTCAATTCCCGAACCGGGAGAAATATTTGTACGGTTTACATTCACTTCTCTCGTTAGTTTGGGTGTAATTTGTGGTTGTCTATCTATGTATGCGTCTATGGCACCCGAGATACGGGGTTTCCCTAGTGCCTGGCTATGAGAGTGTGCGTTGTTTGTTTGTTTGTTTGTTTTATCATCATCATCATCAACGTATTTACTTGTCCCACTGTTGTGCACGAGTCTCCTCTCAAACTAGGGTTTAGGGCCATAGTTCACCACGCAGGCCCAATATGAGATGTGGACTTTTTTATAATACCAGGTGACGGGACGAACAAGTAGTGCACCTGGTGGTAACGACACGCCTATCCATAACCGTTGCAGTGCCACTCAGAGCTTTAAATTGCAAAGATCTTAGGGGCATAGTTTGAGAGAGACATAAGTTGACATAAGTCCCAAGTGCTCGTAATTTCACCAGCACACTTACCCTTCAAAACCGGAGCGCAGTTATGCTCACATTATTGCTTGGCTGCAGAAACAGATCTACAGCTACTAAACTTCACACGTCTAAGGGTTGTGATTGTGAACATTCTTCGACGTGCATGTTTTCACTACGAAGTTTTCCTTCACCGAAAAGATCATGGTAATTTTAAATTCTATTTCGCACATAAATTCCGAAAAACACAGAGGCGCGAGCCCGAATTCGAAACCACAGCCTCTGCTTGAAAGGCGGTGGGTTATATTTAGTTTTAATTGTGTCTGTTTTTTTTTTCAGTACCAATTGCTGATGGCTGAAGCCTGTTTAGCTTTAGCGCCAGGCAGTTGGACCTCCATCTTTACACTAGTGAACAAAAGACGTGTTCACTGGATTCTGCAGGTTTTTGGTTCCACTCTGGCCATCGCGGGTTCTGTCCTCAAAATTATCGATAAAGATGTTCACTGGGTTACTTTGCATGGAAGGTTTGGTACGTTTCTAATGAATTAACTCAGCCGAAACCTGAAAATAACTCGACTTATTGACATTGTCACCCGTATTTATGAACAAACCAAAAGTCGCACTTAAGAAAATTCTTCACTAAGATCGACTTGAGTGAAATTTTTGCTTAAGTGCGACTTGGTGTTGGTTGACATTTGTGATCATTTTTTCGCTCGCTCTTATCCAAGGTCAGTCTCAAGTTTTACTTTGAAGCTATTAGCCTATGACAGTACTTGTTTTTTCAAAAATTGAAAGCGGGTGTTTTTGAAAATTGTTTTGCAGTCTGCGCATTTTTATTTGTGGCAGTTAACAAACAATTAAATTTGCCTTGTCTTCAGCGGAAAGAATAAAATAAAATCAAACTGTTTTGACCTTATTTGTTAGAAGTATTTAAGATTCTTAAATTAATATTGATTTTTTTACATTCGATTTTAAAATATATAAATTAGTTACTATGGCTGAACTTACATTAGCGGGAAAATGGTGTTTACAACTATTTCTTTGGAAAATCTGGAACATGAAGATGAAAACCTATGAAGATTAAAATTATCTCTCTCTGTTTTATTGTATCAATTGCTGTAGGGATACGAATCATTTCTATATATTACAATGTGTTGAACTATTTGTTGAAATAACTGAAGTGTGAAACTTCTTGGGTTCACAGCTAGTAAATTCAGGAACAGGATAGGTAGGTTCCATTGCACTTCACGGAATCTATGTGAAATGAGAAACCAAAACAAGTCGATAACAGTAAACAAAACTGGTGTTTCTCTGACTGGAGATGTTCCTTTGTAGCTAGTTACAATATTGGGTTCTTATTGGTTTCTTATAAACCTATAACTTTGATATTTATTTTTTCGTTGTTGATACAACGATGTATAGAAGTATTTTGACATTATGAACTATTAAGAAATAGTATCAAGAGAATTGACCTCGTGGTGCAGTCTACCCCACAGTAGTACTTGAATCTTTTATAATATTTATGAATATCAAGTAGTTAGTACTTTATATTGCTTTCCTACGTAATGAGAAGAATAGTTACACATCAAATTTTCATTCCTGTATCGTACTGTTCGTCATCCAGTACTTCCAAGATATTGCCAGGATCACTCAGATATATTTTAGGTGAGGTGCTTGTACACCACGGTAATCAGATGATTACCGTGGTGTACAAGCACCTCACTCGTTCTCCAGATAATTAGCCATGGAGGTCTCAAAGTCGTTCGTTTTAAAAATATTTTAATACAAATTTATAAACCAAAACAAAAAGGTAAGTAAATAAGTAAAATAAAAAAATGTCAGAGCAATTCAAGAGAAAACGCAAATAACTAGTGATATAAGATATAAATGTTAAAATTTTTCCAAGTCAGACTTAAGAGAGCTAAAGACTGATTCTAAACAAGAGCGACTTAACTCGATTTTGAGACCGAATTAAGATTGAGCTGAGACATAAAATTGTTCATAAAAACCAATTATTAACTTAAGTCACACTTGAGATTTTTTTATGCTTAAGTCGGACTTATATTTGTTCATAAATACGGGTGTTAGACTAGGGTAAAAGAGAAAAAAACGCAAGCAAGGATTGAAAGAAAATCATGCAATATTAGGATGTATAGAACCTTACGCATATTTACTGATATCATGGAGGTATAATATCTTATATTTCAATTGTAACATTTAAATTTTGATATTTTTTGTTTTATTTTTGCTTTTAAATTAAATTAGGCTATATGATTACATTTAGCCATCAGGGCAAAAATAGTGTAACTCACATTTAAATTTGTTTCTACAATGTTACTTTACATTATACTAAAGCAAATACACAATTATTTTATATTCAGATTCTATTTTCATGTATAAAAATAATTAGTGCTTAATTAAATGTGTATATGTGAAAATAGCATCCAATATAAAATAATTATGTACTTTCAAATCATTTATGCGCTGATAGCCTAATATTATAATTATGACATGATATCAAATAATGTAATTTTATAAAAAAATTCATGTCTCTTACAGGTTTGGTAGCAATGGGATTCACAATATTAAGTTTAATCAATGGCCTTACCTCACTTTACGCATATGAGCTGCGCAGGATAATACCCGGAAACCTGTCGAAGCTTACCCACATCTGTTTTGGCGCTGTTGCCTTTCTCACCTCGTGTATTACTTTAATCTGTGGCATGAGGAAAGGCAGTTTCACGAGCTGGACTCCTTACCTTTACAGACCGCTTATTGGGATCATCATTGTTCTTATTACAGTTGTTAATGTAAATCCTTTCCTCACTTTCTTCCAAAAGTCTAATAGAGTTCTAGGACGTTAGACAAAAGCATTTAATAGAAACGCTACAAGAGTAATTGTCACCGAACACACGTCGAATCTCATTGTGACTGTAATTTTATTACGATACACATTTTGAAAAATGTAATCATAATAAAGATTAGACGATTATTTTCTCCAAATCTTCCAGTTGTCCGTTCTTGAAAAACAACATTGCTTTACAAAAGGTACTGCCATCTTACCTATTTCTGCGGCCAAGTAGTAATGTCAGCATTACTGTGTTCCCATTTTGAAGGGTAAGGGTGCTGGTGAAGTGCCCCTCAGATCTTTGCGACTTAAAGCGCTGAGTGGCACTGCAACTGTTATGGGAAGGCATGTAGCTTACCATCAAGCGCACGACTTGTTCGTCCCGTCTCTTCATACTATAAAAAAAAGCTGCAAGTTTGAATACTTGACGAGTTGTAAGAAAGGTCGTGCTGACAGAAGGAGACGAAATAGGTTCACATCACAATAATACTGTATTTACTTATTTCGGTCCATAAACCTGTTTAAAACCTGCCAAAGGGCTGAGAAAAAAGTAAAAAGATAATGATAATGTAACCTAAAAAATGCCGCAGAGGCTAAAGACTAAGGTCTTCAACAACAACAACAAAAGTACAGTAGGTCCTGCCAGTATTCACCTGTGGCATGGAAACAACGATCCTGACGAAGAAGTCCGCAGAGAACTTACAAATCTTACAGAGGGCAATGCAAGGAACAATGTTAGGAATAACATTGCTCGATCGGATATCGAATGAGCATGTTCAACGGATAACTAAAATCGAGGACGTTGTATGCAAAATTGAGATGGGCAGATGAAATGGGAATGGGCAGGACACATAGCTACGATGAATCCAGATCGGCGGTCACGGAGGACCATGGAGTGGCGACCATGGGCCAACAACCAAGGCAGAGGTCGTCCGGCACTTCGTTGGGTAGATAACATTTAAATTTTCGCGGGCAAAAACTGGATGCATGTGGCACGGGAGCGACGTAAACGGAGATAAATGGAGGAGGCCTATATCCGAAGACGGATGGAGTAGAGACTGCTTGATGATGATGATTAGAACCCAAAAATGCACGAGAAACATCCATAAATATACCTGACAATAAGAGTGCCAACACGCTTCAACAATGAACGTCTACACGTATATACTAAGTGCCATTTAGGATGGCAATAGCGATCGTTCACCTCTTCCTACCACTGTATACGTTAATTGTAAAAACGCCAGTCTCTGATAATCCTAGTAACGTACGAATGTATTACTGTTAGCGTATCGTTTTAGTTACCTTGAAGTACTGGTGACCTCGGGGGTTGTAAACATTTAAATAGTTTCAGAGTAAGGAAACATTAATTAGCACCATTGACTTACAAATAAATGGACGACGGGTCTAATACACAAACCACGAAAAATATCTCCCAAGTCGACCTATTTAAACGTAGTGACATGTAAAGGAATATGAAAAAGCTAAAACGTTGAATTTAAATTGCAATGTCATCGCAGTACCGTCTAATTTTGCTTGCTTCGCTGTCAGTCGAACAAACGAGGACTAAAGCGTGAATGACGCTCTGTATACGATTTTGACGCCCTATAAGTTCGGACACTTTTTAACGCGGACCCGACGTCCATATAATTGTAAGTCAATGATTAGCACCGACAAAATGTAACTTTTTGCTGCGTTCGGCTATACCAACGACGTTGCTGTACCTGTCGCGTCTACATTACCCAACGATGTGTGAGGAGATAGTGGAGTACATCAGACTAACAGCCAAATACAGCCTGAGAGTCGAGAGGTTAGAGTCCCGCCACAAAGTGAATTCGTTTGCGGTGCAAGTACCGTACCTACTGACCGAACATCTATCGACCTTCATGAAGGCGGAGTTTCGAGCAAAGAGTGTCGTATATCGACGTTTCCACGGCCGGTTACTTGACACCAGATTGCACCACAAGTCGCCAACAAGTGCACTTCGTGTAGAGTAGTTATTTAGTTTATTACATTGTTATATTATGTTGAATAAATTACTAAATAAATAAATAAATTTATTACATATTATTCTTTATTTTTTTATAAATAAATATATCACAAAAGACGTAATAATATAATATAACTTTGCAGAACCGTCATCTTCAGAATCCAATTCGGAACATTCGCTGTCGCTTACATTTATTATAAATTGGTCGACAAAACCGATGCTGTGGTTAATACGAGAATATATTAATACAACGACGGCATTTATTGGATTTACCAGGTGATGGTCCTGCCGCTGGTTCCATGTTTTGTTCTTCGTTTAACAACAAATAAGGATACAGTCATTAACAAATCAACAAAATGAAACAAAAATAACAAAGCAAATTAATAAAACAACACTAAAAGTAATACAACTCTCCGACAATATTAGCACAGTTGTAAAACAAAATGGCCAAAAGGTTTTGCACATTTTCCGTAAAAGACGGTAAAAACAAACAGGAATAATTTTGAATTTGTTTTTTTTTAGAAGCCTGTGGTATTTTTTAATGTTAAAAGGAAATTGACGAACTTTATATTTTTAAATACATCTATAAAGCTAAATCATCTAATCAATTCAACTACAATGCTAAAGAAACTGTATTTATAGTTATTATGAACTGAGTTTTAAATAATATTTAAAACTCAGTTCATAATAACTATAAATACATATTAAAACTCATGTTATGAGTTTTAATATGAACCTTGTATATTATGGTAGCGTAATATAATAAATATTTATTTTTCATTAAACATTATTATCCATTGATCCATGCACCGCTGCGGATGCACCTGCGGTACCATAGACGAGCTTCTATATATAAGACGCGAGTACGACATCGTCCCAGATGATCGGTAAAATTACGGACAATTTCTGCTTTTTGGACAGTTCCAGTGATTGGGTTGGCGTCTTTGCCTAGCAAAATATACCTACAATCCAATAATGTCCAAGTCACTATATTTATGTTAAGAATTAGATGAACAAATATTTAGTATTTTTGAATAGTTATATGATTATGTCGGCGGGTAATCGGTGGATGCACGTCGCGTCCGATCGGCTGGTCTGAAAATCTTTGGGGGAGGCCTATGTTCACCAGTGGACGTCTTCTAACTAATATGATATGATTACGTATTATTTAATAATTCCTTGGTTATTGGATGTCGAATTGCTGTGTAGTTACCTAGTACAGAATCTTTTCCTCGACTGTAAGTAGTAAACATTTGCAAATGTATCAGAAATTAAATTTAAATTTGTTACGATCTTCATTTTTTAGTGTAACTAAATATCTTTATCTCTTTATTGACAATCGCACACAGGAGCTCCTAGTTCGTTTATAATTAAACATGCTCTTTTGAATTTTAAATTAATAACTTCACGTTACCGAAATTCGTACTAGTAGGAATTAAACCTGTCACCAAGAATCGACCGGGTAACCTTTACAGGCATTTCAGTGCTTACAAAATTAAACATAAAATGCATGCAGGTGTGATAGAATTTGAATGTGTTTTTGTGAATACTCGAATTTTTTTACTGGTTACGTTACGTTACGTTACGTTACGAGGTTACGGAAACAACTATCACCAATAACATCGTATTGTCAGTTTAATAAGTCCACATTTGGAAAATGATAACTATTTGGAGAGAGAAAGACTTTACGATGGAAATTACTTATTTATTTCGCTGGTTCAGCGGCAGCGACTAAAATTAATCTTGACCTCCAATACCAGGTTCTTTCTGTCTTATGCGAATTCCGACCATTCGGGCACATTCAGCTTCTTCAGGTCTTTGGCAACTTCATTTTTTACCGGTATATTGTAAATGGTTCCAGATTATCAGTGGAGACAACTATCATCAATTCGCATTCTTCGTTGTAATTAGTCCACATTTGGAAAATGATAACTTTTTAGAGAGAGGTTCAAAGACTTTACGAAGGAAATTACTTATTTACTTCGCTGGCTGAGTGGCAGCGACCCGGCCATGATGCCTCCGATATCAAGTTCTTTAAGTTTTGTGCGAATTGCGATCATTTGGGCATATTCAGCTTGTTCGGGTCTTTGGCGACTTCATCCTTCCAGCGATGTCTCGGACAGCCAAGTGGACGTTGACGTGCAGGTGGCCCAAGGAAAATTAGTAGATAACTTTTTTATGCTTAAATAGGAGATAACAATAAAATTTCTCATAAACATAATTTGATTCATGTAGTTCATATTACGTTTATGACTTGTGATAAAAGAACCTTGGACGTATTATCCACATGTGACTTTATTATACCAAGGCTGCGCATTAAGTTATTAATTCGATAAGTTATTATCAGACATGTCTTCACGATTCGTCATCATTTCAGCCGACGGATATCTTATGAATACAATTAATGAAGCGGAAATAAAGGTGAATTTCAAAACAAGGATAAGTGCAGTTTAATAACATATACAAACGAGTTCCAGACCACGCATCTAGTTATCGTAGATAATCACGTCACGTTCGCCAGATATCGATAACGTCCAGTTATCGATATCTGGCGGTCCGGATATGTTAACTGTTGCATAGATGTCTGAAGGATGATAACAATGATAATAGACCAGACAACTCTATACTAATCACCTGATCTGAAACCAGGAAATTCCATATGAGTACCAGAGTGTCTGTGAAGACGGCTGACTCTTTTTATACCTTCAAACTTCAAATGGCTTCTCTTGGAATAGAAGTCGTCATGTTACACATTGGTTGTGGAATAGTAATCCGTAATTGTCTGGTATCAGTCATTAGATGACCTACGTGGTCAAGCGGTTTGCACACCGATTTTCATGGTGTCGCCATCTCTGGGGTCCCAGGTTCGATACCCGGCCTGGTCAATATAGAAACTAACTTTTCTATATTGTCTCGGATCTGAGTGTTTATTTTACCGTCGTTGCTTCTGATTTCCATAACACAAGTGATTTAGTTACTTACTTTGGGATCAAAGCAACCAATGTGATGTTGTTTAATATTTATTTATTTATTCATTTGTATCCTTTGTCGTCCTGATTAGATTTGTTTTGCTTGTGGGATTTGTATAGTGTAACTGTATACTTTATATGTTATTACTCGTAAATAAATGGATACATTCAGTTGGATTAATGATGATTGTTTTGTTGTAGACCATTTTGTTCAGAATCGCGGCGACTGAAAAACAGTTGTGCTGAAACTTCGTCCTTTA